AGCATTTAGATCATAAGGAGTGTGGCATAAAAAATGGGACACTTTTGCATTTCATTTTATTATCACTTAATACGCTGTATTAAAAAACAAAACATACTACAAGATGCAGCATGAAAAGCTCTACTATCTATGAAGAATCGCTTATTTTATAGTTGCACTTATTGTTTTCGAAATGTACAAAACTCTGAGCGACCAAATTTTGACTTTGCGAAAACGAGATGGTTTTTTGGTAAAAGACAAATTCGGTTCTTTCTATCTCATCTTTTTATAATTGCTCTTTGTAAATTGTAGAGCTTTTCAGGCTGCATTGTGTAGTGCATTTTGTTTTTTAACACAAAACATATCAGGTAATAAAAATATGAGATAGGAAAAACCGAATTCGTCTATTACCAGAAAACAATCTCGTTCCTGGAACAACGACATTTGGGAGCTCCGAGTTTTATCCATTTTGAAAACAAAAGTTGCACATATAAAATAAGCAATCCTTTACAGATTGTAGAGCTTTTCACGGTGCATCTTGTGATATATTTTGTTTTTTTAATATAACGTATTAAGTGATAATAAAGTGGAATGCAAAAGTGCTACAACCATTATGATCTAATGCTACCAGCTAATCTTCAACAAAAACAATTCTTATCAAAATTTTATTATTATGATATTAATTGAATAGCGATCAAATAGCATAGAAAAATAGAGAGAAAGTTGCTCTATCTGTTCATAGAAAAGGAAACTTTTTTCAAGTTTTCTATAAGAAAAATAAGTACCTCCGTCACTACTTTTGGATAACCCTATAAGTACTATTGGCACTTTAGAAATCTTTGAACTTAGTCGGACTGACTTTTTACGAAAATATTTCCCATTCAATTCTCTACATAAATATAAACGCTTTATTACTGAATCGATTGGTGCAGCAACACATGAGAAATTATGACGAGCACCAAAATTTGAAGAAAAAAGTAACTTAGATAATGTAAGAAACAATTTCTTTTTAGGATTATTTTCTAAAACTTTATTAGTAAGAAAAACTTAGGTAGCATCGCGTACTCTTTGTGAAACTCTTTTTTTCTCCCAAATTAAAAAAAAGATTATGTTAGAATAGAGTGTGCAACAGTTCTTTTTAACTTTCCTCCTAATTTTTTTTCTATTTACTGCTTAATATGCTGAGAAAAATAAAATTTCTTCTTAAATTTTGCCTGATTGGAGTAAAACCAATGTTTAAGACGAATATATATATAGATTGAAATCATTCGCAATATACAGGATGAAGTACATCGTATTTGAAACTACAAAAACTGTGTTAAAGCCTTATTCTGATGATTGTGAAATTATTTCAGAACAAGTTAACTCTGTGTGCGAAAATGAATTTCGTTTTTTGTTCATTTTGGTACTTCTCATAATTTCTCGTGGCATGCTGCATCTTTCAGCCTTCTAATAAAATACTCAACACATTGGGTGTGGACGAGGGTGGATTAAATGAATGCTCACATGCACAGCCAGCCACACTCGTACCAACACCCACAATGACACCCTCATCCTCACCCACACTCACATCCACCCGCGCCCACCCACATATCCATACCAACACATCCGCGCTCTGGATATACATTTCCTGAAAGTTTCAGTCAAATATCTTGTTGTGAAAGAAAACTCAATTTTTGACTGGGCCTTAAAGAATAAAGATTTTGAAAATTCTTTAATGTTTATTTTATAAATATAAAGATTTTGCTGATCTTTATTCCTTAATATAAAGATGAATAAATATAAAAGAAAACCCTATTCCTGATAATTGTGTTTTGTTCTTTTGCTTCAGACCAATTTGTTGAATCAGTGAATACAAAATGGCAAGTTCTACTACCGATGGAAAAGATCCAAATCGAGATGACATCTCAATTATATCATCGATACCAACAGAAAGTGCAGATTCTACAACGTGCTTACCACCATATTCAGCATTATTATTTGTTAACGCTTCTTCTGTTGTGATCGAAAAAATCATTAGTTATTTAGAATTAGAGCATAATGATAAGAAAGACCAAATTATTTCAGATTTATTAATGAATGGTCGTCAAGCTCTCTACAGACACCGAGAAGACATAATTCCTGAAGTTCTGTCTCAGGAGCAAGATTATTCAAATGAAGGAGAAAGTCCATTATTGAAATTGATTAAACAATATATTACTGAAAAATGGGAAGCTTTATTAGTTAATCAACCGATAATTGTTTCATTTATAAATAATGTAAAAAAAGAAAACTCAATTCACTTTGACAATGTACTAACAAGAATGGCAGAATATGGCTTAATCTGCACAAAAGCATCACTTATTCTGTCGATTGTTTTACAACTCTTTTCTGAAAGTATTGACGATGAATGTTACACGAAAACCAATAAATTTGTTGACTTGTGGAATTCAATTACTATTGATGGTATCCATGGTATTAACACAGCTTCAGAAGATATTCCTGAAGAAGAATTAAATGAACAAACTAATAATAAAAACTCACCTGTATATCTAGCATTAAGGATGTATTTTGAAGACGAAATAAAACAACTATTTAGTAAACTTAAAATTCCTGACAGACATAATACACTATATGATGTAGCAATTGATAATGTTACGGAAAATGGATGGCTAGAAGGTATTAAATCAATCACTAAGAAGATAACTAAAACACATTATAATTTATTGGCTGAATCAATACAAGCGCTGATTGAAAAGCAACTTTCAGCTCGATCGACTCAAGGTAACTTAGAAATCTAGGAAAACAATCACTTTATGTACTCATTTTTTTTTCTCGGAATTCTCTATTTATTTGAGGATGCGAAGTGTTGCTGTACATGATGAACACAACACCCCTAATCACATCCATACCGAACCGTATTCACCCACACCCTTACTTGAAATTTTATCTGGAGCGAAGATAAAAGAACTTCAAACTTTAATTATAGAACACAACTTGCGATAGAAGAAAAGCATTCGGAGTAGATTAGTATTTGACACAGTAGCAGACTGCTTCCGAACGATCGAGAATTCGTTCTTTGCATTTCTTTTAAAAAGAATGACCGATAATGATTTGTGACAAAATTAGGATTAATTACTCTTTAGTCTAAATAAGAAGCATCAAAAACAAGTTTCGGAAATATAAATTTTTGAGAAAAACGTCTGTTTCTGAAAAATGAAAAATTTCTCTACCGTCTCCATAGATGAAACCGGTAGACCGACTAATCCTCAAAACGTCACTAATCGGTCCACGCTATCTATCGACTGGTGAGAAGCAATTTATGCAGACGGACTGGTGTATCGGTTCCACCTATGGCTACCCCTTTGGGAACAAGATGCGGGAAGGGGAAAGCAATGCTCAGGATTCCGATATCCTCTTTATCCTGTTGAATCATATGCGTTCTTTCCATATCTAGTGTACTCAATTAACATGAAACCATAAAGTATAGAAGGACGGTGTACAAAATAGCTATGGTATAGGAGTGAGTGTAGAAGGAAATTATCATCATCCTCGACACATAGAAATACTCACATCCACATATGTCCCCATATTACACAGATCAGCTGTATTTCTGTTAGTCATTTATTTGGGTAGCATCAAAATATCGTGAATCAGCAGACATCATGAAGCTGGCCTATTTTCATAGTCACAAAGATTCTCAGGGAAATGTGAATATTGTCGGCTCTTTTACTTGTCCGCTTTCAGTCGTATAAAAACTAATCTTCTAAACTAAAGACCTGATAGTTAACACAATTTTCGATCCATTTTACTGCTGTCACATTTCGCGAGTACAATAATTCGTTTAAGTGTCACATAATACCGATTAGTTTAACATTCCTCATAAGAGTATATTTTTAGACGAAATCACGTTAGGATCACTTTCAAACCGAGCAGATACAGTACAGAAGATGACGGAGCATGGGTTTTCTGGAGATAAAATACATAGCAAAAATGAAATTAGATATACCAGTGAATCAACTATTCATCACAATGATACAACAGCAGTTCACAATACATACGTTTATCCGGCAGGCAAACCTGATGGGGAACTAATAACAAAATTGGTGATCAATATAGATGAAAATAAAGACGAGAGTAAGTGTAAGAGTGAAGATGATGCAAGGTCACAATGAATGGATAAATGGATATTGGTTGTTTCGCCATAGGCAAATTTTCGTGTGCTTAGTTTCAATATCTCTGTAGCTTAAGCCCATGAGTCTTTTTCAAAAAAAGCTTTTGATATGACAAGTATATTGCATTATGCTTTCAATTTCAGTTTCTTAGCACGAAACGCATAATTTCCTGCATGCAAACTGTGAATCTTTTCATACAGAAGACGGATCTTACCGTTCGAATCGCATCATCTTTAAAATGATAAATGAGTGAGCACGAATGTAGACATCTTTTCATGAAGTGTACACACAGAAACATTCACCCACACCTATATCATCATCATAACAATAAATGATGCGAGCAAGTCGCCCTACTTTTCTTTTCAAAACATTTATCAAATCAGGGCTATCTCAGTGGGAACTGGTAGCCACAAGCTGGCTTCTCAATAGCTTCTTCGATATTTTGTCACGCAGCATTAGTCAGAAAATAAAAGAAACTATTCGATGCCTTACTTTCATCATAAAAACACAAGGCCATCCAGTATTGAGTCTATAAGCATAGTGATTTCAAACTGAATTTTCACAAAAAAGGCTTCTTTAAGCGGAGCAACGGAACTCCAGAAAGCAACCTATTCAGATGGAAACAAAATCCATCTATGGAATCAGCAAACGTTGAAATATCACTCTTCCTCCGTAAGGATAACAGCTTCTCACAACCACGAAAACGCCCACTTTGTGGAATCAGCATACAGCACACAGCACACAGCACACAGCACATATACATTCTCACGCTTCAGATTGAGATCACATTTTATCAATATGTCAGCATATGTATGAGTATAATCACCTTCTTTTTCCGGAAGATTAGGGTTGCTTTGGCTCTTGTATTATATTTCCTAGACTGAAAGCATAGGATCTAGAAATTGCAATGCCTTCAACATATGCTAAAAGAAACTAAAGTGATGGTACAAGTGACCAAAGTTATAAAGAAAATGCGTATTTATTTGGCCTAATGGAAGATAAATATGGCTAAATTGACCTTCTTGTAGTTATCTGTTACATGAATAAAATCATAGTGCCTTTTTCGGTCACTTGTACCGAGCGCTACAGAACAGACAGCAATAGGTAATATTTGGTTTCTTTACTAGTGTCTCAGTCAGGTACTTCTAATTTGTGATCATAAGTCAAATAAAATTTTACAATATTACTAAGACTTTGAACTATAGTCAAATGTATAGCTAAGAACTTAAACTGTTTGTCTTTCCACAATGACTAAAATTTAATTAATTTTATTTTTAAGTTTTCATTGACAAATACTCATGTTTAGAAATTTCAAGTTCCAATTTCAAACTGCATATAGTTTGGGAAACTGTAGAGTTCACTAGTATATATAACAGAAATCTAATTGAATGTAAAAAGATCTGTACCTGTCGAGCGAAGTCTATTGGAAGCTAAGTGAGTATAGTCTGAAAGTGTTTTTCTTCATTTTGATAGATGAGTATCTTAAGACTGTTATAAAATAAAATTAATTTTAAAGTCCAAGTGATTTGATTCGAAAAGTTTTATTGGCTTTGGATGGATCAAGAACTTTAGTACTTCATCAATAAGAAGGTTTGATGAAAAAGATGTAGTGTTCAATAAATTGTTTTGAAAAATGCCAATGAAATGTTATGCCATAATAAGCTGGGCCACTGGAAAAGGTTGACCACGCAAAATTTTCTTTCTAAAACCTGTTTTTCAACGTTGTAGCATCAGTGATTAGACTTAAGAGAGGGTCCGCGAGAAGACCACCCTAGGTCGCCGGGCAAAAAAAATTTTTTTTTCGATTTTATTTTCTCAAATGATAGGTCTAGGTAAACTATAGTTAAATCCAAAATATTAGCGCATTTGATTTTACCTATGAAAAATGTGAGCTAAAACAAGTTTAAGGGGGGGAGGGGGGGTCAAAATTGACCCTGAAAAGTGGCTAAAAATGGATGTGCTCAGTATTTTGATATTTTCTCATGAATGATTTGACCGTTTGAGATCGGGCACATCTCATTAGATAGGGAATCGTATAGGCTACAAATTTATCCAACTTTGATGATTCATATCTGGGATAAAAGAAACGCTATAGGTCAAAAACTTCCAAATCTCAAGAAATTCGACACTCTGAGATATCAGTATTTTGGGCTTTTCTTGAGTAGTGCAAGCGGTCCCAAACTTATTTTTTTGCCAGACATAGATCTTTTCAAGATACATCTTTTGACATTAAATTGTCAAGACAAAAAGACTCAGGGACCAAATTAACAAGGATCTCACTGTGCCCTACCCTACCTAATCACCATTGATCCTACCCCACAAAGACATATAATTTTTACAGAAATCACGAAAATAGACTTCAGATTCGTGTTCAGTTTGAAAA